AGCAATTTTCTAGGCCAATATATTATGGATAAATGTAACAATTGATGTAGACATGACTCCCCTAAGTTAACAATTGCTGTTACTTGATTTAACTTACTTAGAAGTGACAGACACTTCATGAGTATATTTTAGTTTATTTTAACATAGCAAATGTTTTAAAACTGAAATATAACATTATAAATACTTATTCCATTTATATTAGTTTATTTGTTGTGGATCTTCTCTATCATCAACATGAAAGCATGCAGAATCACTAAGGAAACACAATTCAGGGTATGTCTGAGTGTGTTTCCAGAAAGTTCTAACTGAGCTGGGCAGAAACACAATGTTGATGGAACCATTTGGTGGCTTAGGTCTCTGCTTTAATAAGAAGGAGAATTCTCACTGTGTATCAATATTCATCTCTTTTTCCTCTGGACACAGTAGGAACAGCTGTCTCATGCTGCCAAATCTTCCTTGCCACGATTGATGATACCCTCGAATTGTGACCCAAAGCACACCCTTCTATAAATTGCCCTTTCTCGTTATTTTTGTCAAACAATGAGTAAATTAACCAGTATAGAAAATTATTACTAGCAAGTGGCCATTGCAGTAACAAAACAGACTATACATATGGTGTTCAACATCTGCAACTGTTTTATGTGAGAAGATGAGGGATGCTGAGAGACACAGATAGTGGAGGGCACTCTCACAAGCTTCCACAGGAGGACAGACTCTATCAAGAACTATGCTAGGACACATACATGCTACCTTCTGGAAAAAAATCTGATTATTTTCTCCCCATATCCCAAGAGCTTGAACCATGCCAAAATTAAAACTAATGGATAAATCTGGTAAAGGGAGTCTCAAGAAACAATAGAATCCAGTGGTCCTGGAAACTATGTAGTGCCCCTGTCCAGATCAACATGAGAGCAAGCAACAGAATGAACAAAAATGTCAGAAGTGAGCCAATACCGGAAAGCTTACAGTTAAAAGCAAGAGGGATCCTGAGAAAGTTATGCTTGCTACAGAGACTAGCACCATTAGAAAGAAATCCCAGCTCTGTACTTGGGCAACAGGAAAAGTGTTTTGAAAGCAAGACTCCACCCATCGAAGGTTCCAGGTAGTAAAAGGGCAAATTCATTTGAAGGGAGAGAGTGTGAGCAAAGAATACTTTTCAGAGAGCAAAGGCTGATGAGAGTGATGGAGCAGGTTCAGCTACCCAGGCACGGAGGACTTTACAGCTCTGATCCAAAGGGGACAGTTTGGATCTTGAGTTGATTGTAGAACATGGCCCCATTGTTCTCATGATATTGAAGGCATGTAAAACCCAAGAGTAAGGTGTCACAGGGGACTGCTGAAGCTTTCAAAGAGTTACTTAGGCCAGGGATGTGGCAGCAAGGCATTATTCACAAGTGAGCTCAGGAAAAAGCCACTGTGAGAACTAACTTAACAGAGTGAAGCCTAAGTTACAATGGGGAACCCAGGCTTTTGGAGATATCAGGTTTTGGGGATGTCAAGAAAAGGTAGGTGAAGGAATTACAAACAGCAGAACAGAAGGGCTGTTTGTGGTAGAGAGGAAACCAGAGGGGCATCCATCAAAACTCCATCTAGATGACATCATCATGAACCATAGAAACAGGATGTAGATCAGAGAGGTTTGATATTTGCCCTGCTAGGTTTTGGTCATGCTTTCTGATCTGATCTTTTTTTTTTTTTACTGTTCCCATCTCCACTCTTATGTCTTGAAATGGGAGTGTTTGTTGTTTTAAATTTTATACTGGGAATAAATAATTTTTAATAAGTTTATTATTGTTTGAGAGTTTCATACATGCATCCAATGCCAGTGCCTTATGACAAATCTTCCCTTCCTTTCCTCCCTGCACCAGCAACTCCCCTCTCTCCCTACCACATTTCCCTGCTAATTTCACATGTATTCTCACCCTGTCCCTCTCCCTCTTCCCCTTCCTCTCCCTCCCTCTCTCTTTTTCTCTTTCTCAACCCAAGCTTCCACTGAGTTCTGTCTGTGTACTTATGGGTGTAGCACTATACACTAACTTTATAGGGACTCACAGACAAGAGATTTCCTTAGCTCTCAGTTGAGATGATAGAATTTTCAATAGTATTGGGACTGATCAAGACCATAGAGACTTTAAGGAATTTGCTAAATGCCTCTTGCATTGTGAGATAATAATGACACTTTAAGGACCAGGTTTGAAATGTTATGATGTGACATATTAGTGGCAGGTTAATCAGGCATTTAATTGTGATGTTAATCATCGCTGTCAAATTTAAGAGATTGATATAGTATCATCATAGAAACATGTGTCTGTGTTAGTGAGTGTGTTTACAGAAAGATTTAAGGAAATGTAGAAGAGCTATCCTGAATGCTGACTGTACATTCCATAGCTAGGACCCCAGACTGGATAGAATTGTGAATTGATCTGAGCACCCACCCACATTTTTTTGTGCTTCCTGGCTGTGCACACAGTGTGACAGGCAGCCTCCTGTTTCTGAAGACTTTGCTTCCTCGCCGATGTGCATTGAGTCTTCCTAGGGTCAGTTTGTAAAACTCTTCCTTCATTTGAGCAATTGCATTGCTGGTTGTAATACCCAGGAATCAGATGTTGAAGCACTGCATTGTCATGTGCACAGTTCCTTTGGACCATCTTTCTATCTGTGATCTAACTATTAATACAGATAAATTTATTTCTGTATCATATTTGATGCTGAAAACATTGATATGTTTGCTTTCATTAACCGTTACAATAGTCTTATTTACAAAATAATGACCTAAAGAAGCCAAATTTTTGTTCTAAGTTTTGATATAAATTTTAAAATATTTACTTATTATTATTTTATGTCTTGGCCGCAGTTTCCCTTCCCTCCTCTTCTCTCAGTTCCTCCCCATAACCTCATCTCTGTTCCCCCTCCCACATCCACTCCTTCTGTTTAGGAAAAGGGCAGGGCTCCCTTGAGTCTCAATAAAGTATGGCATATCAAGTTACAATAAGACTAAGTCCAATAAAGACTAAGTACCTCTCCTTATATTAAGGCTGGGCAAGGAGACACAGTATGTGGAACAGGGTCCCAAAAGTCAGTAAAAGAGTCAGAGACAGCCCCTGTTCCCACTGTTGGGTGTTGCACAAGAAGACCAAGCTACACCACTGTAATGTGTATATAGAGGGCCTAGGTCTGTTCCAGGCAGGCTCCCTGATTGTCAGTTTAGTCTCGGTGAGACCATATGAGACCAGGTTAGTTGATTCTGTGAGTTCTCTTGTGTTGTCCTTGACCCCTCTGGCTCCTATAATCCCCTCTCTCCCTCTTAGCAGGATCCTTCAAACTCTACCTAACAGTTGGCTGTAGGTCGGCATCTGTTTTCATCACTTGCTGGATGAAGCGTCTCTGATGACAATCGAGCTAGGCACTAATCTGGTCACAGGGCATAATGGTTTATATATGTATCCACTATTGCTAGTATTCTTAACTGGGATCATCATATAGATTCTTGAGAAATTCCCTTGTGCAAGGGTTTTACCTCATCTCAAAAGGCCTCCCTTTCCAGGAGTCTCTTCTAGTACTTTCCCCTTCCATCCCCCAAATCTGATCATTCATGTTCCTGTTCCCACTTTCTCTCAAATCCACTCACAGTATCTCTTCTATTTCCCTTACCCATGGTGATCTGGTAATCCCTCCATGAACCCTCCTTGTTACTTAGTCTCTCTGGCTCTGTGGATGGTAGTCTTGCTATCCTTTATCTTACAGTTAGTATCCACTTATAAGTAAGGACACACCGTGTTTGTCTGTCTCAGTCTGGGTTATCTCAATCAGGATGACTTTTTTCTAGTTCCATTCATTTACCTGAAAATGTCCTGGTGTCTTTATTTTAAACAGCTGAGTATTAGTCTGTTGTGTATATGTACAGAAATTTTTTATCAGTGTTCTCAGATGAGGGGCATATAGGTTGTCTCCAGGTCCTGGCTATTACAAATAAAGCTGCCATGATGATAGTTAAGCAATTAATAATCAGCAACCAATGGAAAAGGTAATCTACAGTTAATAAGTGCAACCTCATGAAGTTAAAAGGTTTCTGTAAAACAAAGGGTGCTTTCAATTGGACAAAATGGCAGCCTACAAAATGGGAGATCTTTTCCAAACCCACATCCAACAGGGGCCTGACGTCTAAAATATATAAACAACTTCAGAAACTATAATTCCCAAACCAAATAATCTAATTTAAAAAATAGGGTACAAATCTAAGCAGAATTCTCAACAGAAGAATCTCAAATTGGGGAGAAACACTTAAGGAAGCGTTCAACATCCTTAGCCATGAAAGATGGCTAATCAAATGACTCTGAGCTCCAATCTTACACCTGTCAGGATGGCTAAGATAAAAACCCAAGTGACAGCTTATGCGGGAGAGCATTGGAAAAGGGGGAATAATCCCATTGCTGGTAAGAGTGTGAACTTGTACAGATACTTTGGAAGTGAAAGGGGTGGTTTCTCAAGAAACTTGGAATAAGTAAGACCTAACTATACCACTCTTGGGCATATACCCAAAGAATGCTCAGTCATAGCACAAGGACCCCTTATGTATACTTTTATGATTGTTTTTATTTCTACCATGACACTTTAAGACCTGCCATTCACTGCATGTGAACATGACTCTATTTGTCAGCACACACAGTCAAACATCTAATGCTAAAATTAACATAGAAAATATTAGTTTTACTTTGCAACTGTTAAAATGTGACTAGAGTAGCTATGAACTGGGATGCTGACATGTGTATGTAGTAGGACATGAACTCTTTTGAGTATATGCCAAGGGGTGGTATATCTGGGGCATATAGCATTTCTATTTCTAGTTTTTTGATCACTTTCATACTGATTTCCAAAGTGGCTGTTCTAGTTTACAACCCACCAACAGGACCTATGAGTTCCACCTTGCCAAACTCACACCAGTGCTTCTTGGAGTCCTTATGATGGTCATTATGATTGTGGTGAGATGATGTCTAAGAGACTTTTTTTTATGGTGAAAAAGTATATATTTGGAATTAGCCAGCTGGACTCAGTTTAGATGATCCCAATTTTGTTGGCAACATCCAGAGCATCATAATCAGGAGCCAAGCGAACATATGCCTTCTTCTCTCTGTCAGGCCTCATAAGGGTGTTGACTTTGGCAACATCAATGTCATAGAGCTTCTTCACAGCCTGTTTGTTCTGGTGCTTGTTGGCCTTGACGTCCACAATGAACACAAGCGTGTTGTTGTCTTCTATCTTGTTCATGGCTGACTCAGTGGTCAGGGGGAATTTGATCATGGGGATTGACATGTGAAGCAACCTTGTTTCTAATTTAAATTTGAAAATAAAAAAGACTAAAAAAAAGTCCCAAGGAAAACATGTTTAATGGAGGGACAGAAACTTTGAGAACATGAACTCTCAATGATATAGCTGCCTATACAAGACTATGCCAGCCAATATACCTGTAGGTGGAAAGGGCTCCCAAGGCCATACCTTAGTTGCCAAGTTACAGGTACCTGATGACTAAGAGAGTGAGAATTCTTCAAAGAAAGATAAGAGTAATTTTAGCCAAATTATTTAAATATAATTTAATCAATTCTATGTTGCTAGTCTTGACAAGCATATATGCCCTACCTTAAATACTGGGGGTATATCTTGCATCATATATTTCTGCCTACCTATCTATATCATCTATTTGTCATCTATCTATTTATATTATGAAATAAACTTTATTAGAAAACCTGGAAATAAAACATGCTTATGTTATAAAATAAATTTTATTACAAAGCATACCTTTTCAGTAGAAGAATCACTTCATTGTATTTAACTCACAAGTAAAACCATCACAAACCTAGAATAATATACCCATTAATACTTGCCCATTTCCAAACTATACACCTCAATAAACTTTGATACAGTTAAATGAGTCATTCTGAAGCCATGGAGATTTGTTTAGGGTTTCAAATATTTATTGTCAATTACGTTTTTGTATACTTATCCAAAAAGGAGAATGAAAACATGAAAGAGTTAAAATTAGAACAATAAGCTTTCCATCACCTTTCATTAGCTGAGCATCTTTTATCTTCATCATGCCCTTCTTCATAAGCTAATATTCATCTCTGTTCTATTTTATAAATAATATGCTAAAACCACAGGTATATTTATGCCTGCTTTAAAGAAATGTACAAAATGCTGTGTAGTGTATTTAAACAGACAAGTGTTTTAGAGTAGCAAATTTTAGCTTTTCTTTCTCTTGTCTTGATAATACTCATCAGTCTAATTTCAAATGCTAACTTTTAGCAGAGACAGGAGAGTATGAAGAACAGAATCAAGCTAACCACTGAGATTTTGAGAAACAGTGAATTCAGCTTAGTGGAGACTTGGAAGATGAAAAGGGAAGTCTTACAGCAATGATGAGGGCTATTTGGTGTCATTATAAGGCATTTTTTATGGGGTTCACTCTATTGAACCTGAATACATCTTAAACATAAAGAAGTCATTTGAGATGTATGCTTCATCAAAAGTGTTTGATCCTAGAGTTTCTGCCTTATAAATGAATGCTAGCATATACATATATGGGGGAGATGGAATGATACTTAGATATCTGAACCCGTTACCAGTTGCAGTTCCTAAAGAATATGGTGCTATCTATATTGGTAGGAATGAGAATTATTCAGAGGCTGTGTTATAAATTAATCCTCTTCAAAACCCTAAACTGAACCCAAAAATGAACATTTAAAAAGCATGTGTCTGTCACATAGTTCACAGTTGCATTGACATGAGCACCACAGGCTTTCAGAGAGACCATGGGATCTGATTTACGTGAGCACAACTAGTACATCTGGATCCATGGCATACAATTTAAGTCTACAATGGTATGTGCTGCAGTGTGGAACTCCACAGCATACACAAGAGTAGATTTTATTAAGCATCTCATCAGACCCCTAAGAATGTCAGCTAACCCTTTCACATAGCCAAGTGACCAGCATGATGACAGTGATGGGCCATGTTATGATTAGCAGAGACCCCCAATCATTTAATAGATAGATTTACTTTAACAAATAATACAAATATGACTGCCTCTATGTTCATGTTACTCAGCATTCTTCTGGCATCAGAAAATATAAAAAGTATAAATGTGGCTGAAAATGATACATTGTTGTTATTATTTTTATTGTTATGAGCCTACAAGAACTCTAAACACTTGGTTTATAGTCCAAGGCTACCACAAATCTTCTATTTGTTTGTCTATCTATCTATGTATCTATGTATCTATCTATCTATCATCTATCTATCAAATCTTTCCAAATTCTGTCTCAATTTTGGCAGAGACTCATGGCAGTGTAGTGGGTGAGGCATCTCTGGGAATTATTTTCCACTCAGTAATTCTACAGCAGGAAGACAGGGGTGTGTTTTTGTCTGGCATCTATCTACTAAGAAGGGAAAAATTGAACAGAAGCCTCCTGCCAGAATAGAGACTTCCATCATATATTCTTAGCCAATTATGACTATTCAATAAATGAGGAAGGAACTGATAGGTGCAGCTGATAGCCTGCCTGTGGTCTCACCTGTAAGCGAAACAACTACACGGCAGGTGGGGGGAGGAGCTAGGAGGAATGGAGGGAGGGGAACTGTGGATACAATGTATTGCTTGAGAGAAGAAGCTATTTTCAGTAAAAAAAAATAAGTTCACAAAAAGTCCTTTATAAGAACAATTCTTCATTTTTCTGCTCTATGAATTGACCCAGACTTTCACAGCTTCTCCCTTTGTGTCTGTTCACCAGCTCCTATGCACTATGGGAGATATCTGGCATTGTGGAAGTATGCTGGGTACCATGGGAGAAGAATAGTCTGTAACGTCAGAGCACTCATAAAATAAATATGAGTAACCTCAGGAGCAGCACGATCTAATTTTTGACAGAAAATCTTGCATCAGACCCACTATTATATCAAGATAACAATAACAAGAAGCAGAAATTTAATACGGTTGTGAAGAAGAAATACATGAACTTTATGGAATGTAAACAAGCATAAAGATATTTATGTGCCTGTGAACATTCTTAGAGGAACTTTAACTATTATCGAACAACTTGGTGCATCCTTTGCCTATCAGTGACCCTTTCTCCTTAGTTATGCCTTCCCTTCTTTCTTCAAGGTGGATCTGACTAGGACTACTGATAAGCATCCAACTTGCTAACAGCAGAGAGTGAAGCATTCTTTAAAGGATGAGAAAGCCCAAGGGCAAGTTGGTTACATCACTCCTTGGGCACTCCAAGGAAGCCACCATATCTAGAAAGCATTATTTACTCAAAATACTGTTGCATGACCACCATCCTTGGTACAGAATGTCCTATATATTACCCCATTATACCATGTAAAATTCTTCAGAGCCAAACATTTCATTTAAATAATGATAACTACAAGGGTGCCTCTTGATTAGTTAAGCATTTTTGATATTTCTCTTCATACTACACAAGGTGATTGGATGGAAAGATGTAATTTCATTTCATTGTTTTCAATTACATTTCTAGGAATGTGGCGATGACTTATGGGTGATACATTATTCTCTCAAATGCTTTAAGTCAACCAGAAATATAAGTTGCTGTGTTTTCTGTATCCAGAACATAACCACAAAAAGCCACAATGAAGATGACAGGACTCTGTTAGCAAATCATATGAAAACAATGATTTGTTCTACCTATATTTCTGAGACCTACTGATTTTAAGATCTTTGTTCATAATGAGGAGATGTGGTCCCCAGGAGGTACCATAATAGTCTAATAAACTGCAAGGTGAGGGCATCATTTGACAATTTCGTATTTCTCAGATGAGTGAATCAAGCAGGTGAACAGTAGCAATACTAATTCTGACTAATGTAATTAATCTTCATTCCATTTGCTGTACACAGTGCATGAAAATTATCCTTGCACTGCAGAGGGTCTGCTTGGAAGCCTTTGAACATTGTCATGTCCCAAGACAAAATCTGATGAAATGACACAACCAAAATATATAGGGCTGCTAATATCTTTAACTTTAGTAACATCAGTTTGTTTAGATACTCCTACTCATTAAGAAACCAGGAACACCTTAGAATTTGTTGAGAATGAAGGAAAGACATAATAGTAAAGGTAGAAAGACTTCTAACTACCAGCTTCAAGCATGTGGACATATGAAAAACCAAGCACTGTAGCTGGTAGGGGTGATTTAGTATTACTAGCTGTTTGTTTTGTTTTGGGGTATGTAGTATGGGTGTGTGGTGGAATTGTTTCCCTCTAAATTGAAGTATTCTCTCCTCAAGGGAAGTAGAGGCTTATAAAATCTAAGCCGTTCACGAAATCTAGGAGTTTTCAGATGCTGAAGAGACAAGACTTGTGAGATCATTCCCAAGATAAATAAGCAGTAATTGCTGAGAGCCAACTTATTGTGGAGCTGCCATGGTTGCAGGACATCCCAGAAATGTGGCTTTTGTGAGTTACACCAATTTGAAGTGGGGTTTTGGTACTATAATACTCAAGGGACATCATACTTCTATAAACAACCCATCACTCCGTTTCTCATAAGTAACTTCAAAAAACCATTGACTCAGGAACCAACAGAACCACAGATGTATCTGGCAAGAGTAGTTCCATGGTCTCTGATAGGGGCCATAGAAAATACAAATGAGGCAGACCCATTTGTGAGTAGAGTATTTGCAGAGGTAATTCTAACTAATATAGATACCTCTCCTCCTTGCTGTGGTGGCAGTAGTGTGGACCCGGCTGTAGGTGAAAATATATGCAACCCTTGATGCACACAGTGTGGGAGTACAGTACCTTTTGGGCAAATTTCAAGATTCTGTCTCCTTTACGTTGTATAGGGTGATATGTCTCCTTCATGAATGATGTCATGGGATTTCAAGATGGGCCCTAAAGCATCGATGGACTAGGAAACGTATTCAAATTTCTAACAGTAGCATGTGTGGGATGTGGTCTTAAGCAGGCTGTGGTAGCAATTGTGTTGCATTTGCTTTGGTGGTATGACCGTAAAATGAGCTCTGGCCTTCTGCTCTGAACAAACGACATGTGCATACTGTGCTCTGCACCAGCCATCAATTTTTCAGGGAAAGTAGAAGAAAAAGAAAGTGAGATCATATTGGCATCACACTTTTTATGACTGAGATTACAAAGTGTATACTAATTAGATCTTAGGTGAGTATTAAGTGTTTATTTTTGGCATTCCCAAACCCGGGACCCATGAGAACAATCACACAGTAGGAAGGAGGGAGGAAAAAAACCAAATGAGATAATGCACTTCTCAGGTA